ATCTGCCACAATGTGGTAGAAGTCCGATCACTGCTTGGGCTTGTATGAGTTTTGTTAGAGTGGCAAACAATATCACTTTGAAAGGGGGTGCTATAGATATGTCCAATACTGTACATATATCGTCTCCGAAGGGTGAAAATGTGCCAAGTCCATTTTTTTAATTGTTCAGGAAAGACGAAAAATCGATGTAGTATCGCATTACCTGCCATTCTGCATTAAAAACTAAATAAAAAAAAAATGGACTTGACACCTTTTCACCTTTAGGTAGCGATATGCTGTACTATGTGTATATTTTTTTTGTTTTTGTTATCTCTGCTCATAACCACAAACACACAACTTGTTCAACAACATTGACCATATCGCTATCTGTCGCAATTGTGCGCTAGAGATTAATTATTGTTGTTGTAAATACTAGCTTGCGATGGGGCAACGCTATCGTTGGCTCTCTTTTACTTGTTTACTTCCCATAGCTTGCTGTTAAATGGCAACTTTTGCAACCACTCGACATCTGGTTCCATGGTGTAATGGTTAGCACTCAGGACTCTGAATCCTGCGATCCGAGTTCAAATCTCGGTGGAACCTAAGAAAGTTATATTTTCGTTTTTTGTTTAAATAAAAATTACTTAATCTCGTGAATTCGGTAAAAAAAAACATAAAGTGTGTATGACGCCGAATCGTCACTTGAAATGCAAAAGGCCATAACTAAACATTGCTTTTTACATAAAACAATGTAGGGACTTGTAATTTGACGAAATGCGTAATAAGCAATGGAAAAATTAATTTTGGATATTTTGTTAGTTAATGCCGTTTGCATTTCAGGTGACGAAATATTTATATATGTACATACATATGTAGGTATGTACAAATAGGCATACTAAATTTAGAGGTTCTTTATTTAGCGAATATGCAAAACAAATAATTGATTGTTGTTGCTATTAGTATGATGTCACATGTGGTTTTGGTAATAATATAAATATTTTTTTTTTTTGGGAGTGCCAAATTAATTTACTTGCGCGCCGAAATGTAAATAATGATTACATATTGAACCGAGTGTGCGTTTCTTAATTTTTTCAATGAGATGAGAATGTTTACATACATAGGTATTTGTATATGTAGCTACACTAGGGTGCCTCACCAAAAAAGAGTTGGGGTTTTCCACAGGAATTGTACAATTTAAAATACTTTTTTAAGACTTACGCCAAAATATTTCGGAAAAGTATTAAGATTTACGTGAGCTAGACCGATTTGAATATACATATGTACATATATATATGTACCTCCAAAATTCGCATTATTTGGATTCCGTTGTTAAAGTTTTTAAACAATTTTATGCACACCTTTAAAGCTTTATTCAATCATTTGAGGTGATATTTTGGGAAAAATATTTTGAAAAGCTCATTTTATTTATAAAAACTCGATTTTTTTTATCGATCCAGCTCACGTAAATATTAATATTTTTCCGAAATATTTTGGAGGATGGAAAAACAGTACCGAATTGTATGGAGAGTGATGCACCCTAATGTTTGTACTATACACACATACCAACTTGTAAACTTTGAAACTTTAATCTGGCGTAAACTCTTTTTTTTGTAAAAAAGCGTAAAATAATTGTTTGTTGTTTCGCAATCATAGACCCTTCCTTTGAGAAAAATTTATACTTTTCTTATTTATCAAATAAGAAAAATAGCTTAAAGCCAGGTGCATTAAACAGCAATAAGGTTGAAATTTTGATTCCTTTTATTCGAAGTGGTCCATGTTTGTTTGTAAAATCACGAAACTTTTTAAAATATTTTTTTTTGTTTTTTTTTTTTATGAATAAGGGCATATGTCTATAAATTTACGCTTAATTCACATTCAATGAGTACGGTAGCACCAGAAGTTAAACAAGAGAAGTAGAGAGCAAGAGCGAATTGAGCGCTCCCATCGTAAAATGCATTTGCGTATATAAAATAAAAAATTGTAATCACCCAAAACGTCAAAACTAAACGAAAACAAATTCGCAAGGCAAAATAGAAACCGTATGTAGCAGGAAGAGAGAGAAGACGTCGGAGGTGAGTAACGAATAAACAAAACAATATACAGTTCCGTTTCCCGTGCCGCACACCCCACCCAAAAGCACGCAACAACACATATGTAGGTACAGTAATGCCTTGTCCCGACCATCACAACTTACCTTTGTCCCGGAAGAGTTGCTTATACTGTGACAATTTCTGTTGCTCCAGCCATTCATCCACTGTAGTGGGCTCATCGGGCGGCGATGGATCGGCATATAGCCAAGTTGGATATGTACTCCAAAGCAAAAGAACTAATTTTAGCAAAGAAACGGTAAACATCACAGTGAGGACAAGAGCCACCAGTAGCTTCATGAGGCGTTTCTTTTTCATAGCTGAATGAGAATGCAGATGGTAAACCTTCCTACGTCGCGAATACACAACAAATGCACTAATGTTTTGTGTTTCAAGTTGCAAAACGCATGCAAATCGCACTAATTTCATACACTTTGCACCTTACACAGAGCGATGCAATTAAATTTTAATGATACACAGAATGTGTGATAAATTTGCGCTACGAACGTCCGACCCGACCTTATACATATTCGCTTTGATTTCTCCAGCACTGCGATTTAACTACGTGGTTTATTTTTAAATTTTAATTATACCTTTACTTGCAAATATGAAAATAAAATTCAATGTTATTGCTTTTGAGAATATTTTCTGACACTTTTCTTTAGTTTGCCATTTGTCAATTCACTGGAATAGCCAGTAGCAAGCGAAGAAAAAGTTCACTCGTACACACCTTACAACAAAAGCTACTGCACGAAATGAGGAAGTAAGCGAATGTCAAGCACTTTCTGGTTTTCCTCCATTCGCGTGCACTTTCTTTTGTTGTGATTTGCTCTTATTCCCAGGCGTGTGTGGGAGTGGGTGGATTGTTGTCTGTTGACGCTGTGAATAGCGGAAGAAAGTAAATGGTAAATATTCACTTTGCTGAATCAAAACAAAATATATAAACGCCTATGCTAGCCGCTTCTCTCTGCGAGTGGATGGTGATTTGAGCGGAGTGAGAGCGTACACACAATCAAAACAAGTCAAAATTAAACATCAACATCAGCTGTCAACTTATTAACTTTTGACAATTCGCTTGGCAAGTTTGTTGCTGCTATTTTATAAGTCAACTAGCAAGTAGTTAATAAATTAGTAATCATAACCAAAGCAATGGATATATGCATACATTTGTATAAATATTGTTTAATCTTATCTTACGAAAAATTCTATAATTTCTTTAAAATTCGTAAATACATAAGTTTTATGTACTTATGATACTTTGGGGATGTTAGCACGTATTAAAGCTTCTTTGGAGATTCATTCTCGTTTGGAGCTATTTTTAAACACAGCAGTGCTGCCTACGAAACGCTTTTACGCATAGCAATATCAAATGTGGGCAAAGTATCGGACTATTAAGTGCTTAGTACGAAGTTTATGGAAAGCCGGAAAAAGACTTTTAAGTCTCGAAACTTAAATACCAAACACGTATTTTAAAGAAGGTCGCAATTGTCACAACGGTATTATACTGGGTGAAGAAGTTAGTTTTAAAGCGTTCACCAAATATGGCAGTACTTTTACCATTCAAAGTTAAAGCAAACTAAGAGCACATGTAGTCTAAAGTACTGTTATTTATTTTCAAAATGTAGTATGTATATACATATATTATTTTGGTTAAAATTTTAATACTGAGAACAAATAAATTGTATATATATATATATATATATATACTATCGGTAATATCTATAGCACGCCATTTCAATGTGATATTGTGTGCCACTAATGTTTATTTATTTATTTTTAAGAATCTTCATTCTCAGGCAAACCCCGCATAAACCCAAGTTTAATAATTTGTAGAAAACTACAAAAAAATGCAACAGATTTTCATCTAAATTTCAAACTTTTTTCTCGGAAGTGTTCAATTTTTTTTGAGTACACCGGTTTTTAGCCCCTTCAATTTTAGTCTGATAATATGGCTACGAATTACCGTTAATTTTTAGAATTTTTTTGTCGCATTGGCTTCCATATAATGAATAAAATCAATTTATTTGTAGGTACATATATGGAAGAAATCCGCAACACCTTTGGCGAAAAAAATTCTATAAAATCAACGGTAACTTTTAGCTACTTGAAACTTGCACATTATCAGACTAGAATTGAAGGGGCTAAAAAACTGTGTACTAAAAACATTCTAACACTTCCAAGAAAAAAGTTTGAAATTTAGGTGAAAATTTGTTGCACTTTCTTGTAGTTTTCTACAAATTGTCAAACTTGGGATTATATGTGGTTTGTCTGAAAATTAACTATATTTTAATTTAAAACTCTTAAAAATAAATAAATAAACATAAGTGGCACACAATATCACTTTGAAATGGCGTGCTATAGATGTGACCAATACTGTATGTACTCAAAAAATTTAGAACTTTCAATTTTATCTGAGATAAAGCTAGCCAATTCTACTATATTTTGGGTCACTGAATTGTAATCTAAACTCAGNTTTCTACAAATTGTCAAACTTGGGATTATATGTGGTTTGTCTGAAAATTAACTATATTTTAATTTAAAACTCTTAAAAATAAATAAATAAACATAAGTGGCACACAATATCACTTTGAAATGGCGTGCTATAGATGTGACCAATACTGTATGTACTCAAAAAATTTAGAACTTTCAATTTTATCTGAGATAAAGCTAGCCAATTCTACTATATTTTGGGTCACTGAATTGTAATCTAAACTCAGAACTGCTCTTCGCGTTTGCGGGCTTGGTCAGTTTTCGATGGTATCTATGTTTTCTTTCGACCAAATACGCAGGTCAATTTTAAATCGTTTAACACTGCCGGAAATTGTTTTTTGAGTAGTAGGTTTTTTAAAGGACCAACGAGAATATGTTTTGTATTATATGAAAGAACACTAATTATGTTCTGACATTTAGGACAGCTATTAGCTTTTAACAAAAATGCTTTAAGGCCACGCATAACCTTCAATATTTAAATTTTTCAAACTTAGCTGTATCAAAACTATTATTAGAATTTTGGTATGTACATATATGTACGTATATTCAAAACAATGCAGTCTAAATTCGTACGAAACCGAAAAAAATATATATAGTTCGATCGGTGTAGTTATTGTCTCAACGTGTTTTTTATCAAAGATATTATAAAACTTTAAATTTATGTTTTAAGATTTCCTATTTTGCAAGTTAGAGAAATTTTGATTCAAAAGTCACTGAAGTATAGCAGTTTTCAATTTTCAAAAGTACCATCATATGGGAAGTAGTTTCAGTCCGGTTTCGAAAATCAATTATTTACACTAGGTTAATGGCTAGCGTTTTTTTTTTGTATAAAAAATATCGATATTCATGAAAACACGTAAATGCCTCGCAACCGCATAAACCTCGTAAATAAACCGATTTTGCATACAAAATTAAGCAAGTTTACGAGGTTTGAATCGCCCCAATGTTTAAATTTTGAAAACATGTGTAACTATGTATGTACTGTGTATGTAGATAAAACAAGTAATTTTTAAGCAAAAAACAAAACCGACTTAAATTCTCATATAAAAATGTAAGATTATCGTTAATTTCTTCATGATCCAATGATCGTATTCAAACCAAATTAGTATTGGACCACCTGCGAGGTAACACATTGCTTAAAAAAAAAGGAACTATAGAAATCGGTTAACGTGGTTCAAAGTTATGCGTTAACATCATTAAAAAGGAACAGTCCAGCGCCTTCGTCTTGGCCTGCAGGCTCTTAAGCCCCCATACCTTAAGGTAAGACGTATTCTACGTCAAAAAATATATATGTATTCCGACGAAGTGATAACCTTCTCCTTTTTGTGAAGTCGCTTAATAAAATATGTAGCATTTTTGCTCACAATTTACTAGTAAAATTTTTAAAGCCAAATCAAATTCCCTCATTAGATAATTAGCACAAAACGTTAGCAACACTGTTACGTGCTAACCGAAGACACAAACCCAACACAAATAACTTGACATTGAGTGGCATTGCAGCATAAAGCAAGCAATAAAAAAAGCAAGTGGCAGCACCATATAAGCAAGAGAAAGTTATTTTTGTATAAAGCTGAATCATTTTACTTTATTCAATTATGCATACATGCTTACATGCATTTATTTTTTACAAACAGATATTTAATAATGGCCCTTAAATTATTAAAATTTTTTATAGAAAATAAAAAAACACTACACCACATAGAAGGTTCCACCGAGATTTGAACTCGGGTCGCAGGATTCAGAGTCCTGAGTGCTAACCACTACACCATGGAACCGTTGGCGACACGGCTGGCTAAATTGCTACCGCTACCATGTGGTTGTTTAATTTAAGTACAGGTGTACTAGGTGCGAATAAGAAGTGCCCAATTAACAAAAAATAAATAAAATTAAATATGTACATAAATAGGTAGTTTAATTATGCACACATGTATGCACATTAGGGTGATCCAAAAAAAAGTAGAGTCGGATCTTTTATTTTTTTTTAATCAAAAAATATTTATAGGTCGCTCAAAGCGCTCAAAGCGCTCAACGTTTTCAACTTTTCGTAGAAATGGTATAGAATTCTTGAAAATCAATATTTTTCGATCAGACAAGGCTGGTTCTCTTCAGGCGACTTCCAATAGTAATACTCAATTGTTTATTTAACCATTTTTTAATACCACAGATTTTTTATTGGTCTCCCCATTGCATTTTCTGGGGCCTTGGGGGACCTATAATATATATCTAGTTACTATAAAAAAATGGTCAAATAAAACATTGGGTATTGTTATTGGGGTACTCCTGAAGAGAAACAGAATTTTCCGATCGAAAAATTAGATTTTCAAGAATTCTACACCAATTCTACGAAAAGTTATTGGTTTCCCATATAAAGTACATAGGAAACTTTGCGTGCTTTGAGCGACCTCTAAATATTTTGTGATTTCCCAAAAAAAAAAAAATGGATGGATATTAATCGCATATGAGGATAAAAAAGAACGGGTACTACTCATAAAATACAATTTTTTTGTGTATTAGTGAAGTGTTCTACCATCTATTTTGCAACTCGATAAATTCCGCAATTTTGAGACCAATTTTGTCAATCCGTTCATATTCTATTTGGTATATCCGAATAATCAAATAAACGGATTTTAATGGACGACATTACATTAAACTTGTACTTTTTTGTACTAATAATTAATGGTCTACAAATCTGCATATTCAAACTATTTCTAAGAAATCTAATTAAGAAGCTGAAGATTTTACTAAAAATTGTTGACTTTTTTAATCTTGGATTTCTACTGTTTTTGTTAAATAATAAAATACATTTTTACAAAAAAAAATCTTTAAAATTATAAACTAATAAAATAAAAAGTCAAAACTTCTCAATATGAGAGTGTCGTATAGTTAGAATAGGCAATAATAAAATTTTGAATCTGAATAGGATCTCCGTTTTCAATCAACGCTTAAAGTTTTGCGGGAATATTTATAAGTAAAAGAAAACATTAAAATTAAGTATTTATGTATATATGTATATATGGTGATAAAGCAGTCTCGATATTAAAATACATACTCACCAATTATTTTCCTTCTTACAAAAAAAAAAACGGTACTCGACTTGAACATCGCCTAAAGGTTCCACCGAGATTTGAACTCGGGTCGCAGGATTCAGAGTCCTGAGTGCTAACCACTACACCATGGAACCGTTAGGTGTCAGTGTGTGGCAGAAAAATCTCAAGTGATAACTGTAACAATTTGCATATTTTTTTAAATGTGTA